AAACAAAGAACCCACACCCTCCCCTAGACCTCTTGGAGGTACATGCCTACGCGTGACACCACCATGGTACGTCTCAAAATACTATAATCAATATATATAAATAAAGACACGCAGTACACCACGTGTGCATGGAGACACGAATCAAACATCACGTGTGCATGAAAACACGTGTCACAGTACGTCTGTCGACCTACACGAGTGTCAACACCTCGGTATCATTAAACATAATGATAATGATCCTATGGATCAACGTCTCTTTGAGAGACACAGACGCATGACACTACGTTTGAAACACGACGTTCACATCGCGACACGAAGTACATCACGTGTGCAAACGTCACGTATGTGTATCGATCTTTCTCTATCCATTTCAATACTACATCAATGGTTGTAGCCACACACACACACACACACACACACACACACACACACACACACACACACACACACACACACACACACACACACACACACACACACACACACACACAGGACATCACGTTTTGCCTGGCAACACGCGTGAAACAACACGTGTGCCTGGCAACACGAATGACAGTACACCTGTCAACCTACACGAGTGTCAGCGCCTCGGTATCATTCATAATAATAATAATAATCATCCTATGGATCAACGTCAACGTCTGTTTGAAGACATACACAGGACATCCCGATTTGCATGGGAGTGACACGAAGTACATCACGTAGGCATATACCTACATCACGTTCATGTCTGACGGTCCACCTTTAGCATTCAGACGACCGTCTACCTAAAAAAATACCAAGGCTACCCAAGAAGAAAAAAAAGGATCGAAATCTCCTATGACGGTCCACCTTTAGCATTCTGACGACCGTCTACCTAAAAAAAATACCAAGGCTACCCAAGAAAAAAAACCGGATCGAAATCTGACCAATCCGAAGCCTGGGTTGTCGACCAATCAGAGGTCGCGCTCGGGCCATGGTGGGCTCTGATTGGTCGAACCGAGGTTGTCCTTTCTCTCCCATGGTAAAATCCATTTCCTATGGATAAGAAACACAGGGGTCGGTCCGTTTGGGAAAACCGAGGTGCAGGCCAGGCACCGGAACGAACCAATCGGAGCTGCGGCCTGGGGAACCAACCAGGAAGCAGGGTGTCAGTGGCTCTCCTATAAAACAAGAGTGGATACGAGTGAATCAGTGTCACTTGTAAAATTTATTTAAAAAGAAATCATCATCATCATGAGCAGCAGAAGCAGCAGAAACAACATGAAAGAAAACTGGGATTTAGAAATCGCCACAGTGACACAGCCTTTGCACCTGTTGAAAGAAACATCACCACCATTGTCTCCACCATGGCAATGCAGAAGATGTCAAGGGTGCCTGCCCGTGTACGCCCTTGGTACAAGGGCATGGGATGGAACTTTCAAGTGCGTCTATTGCAGCACTGTCCTGAAGGACACTTACGTGCGTCGTTTAACGCACACCAGTAAGTGTCCTGTCAGACGTCAAATGACTGTCCACCCGTGCCTTTGTACCATTGCGTGCACCTGCATGTAATCATCAAGATGCCTAGGAGGACGCCGTTTCCCGTTTCCTGTGTTCCTACCGTTTCCTGCGGTTTCCAGTTTCCAGTTTCCAGTTTGTTTTCCAACGGCCCTTTTCAGGGCCACCCATCTCACCCAAAAGACAACTTTCATCCTTTGCTTTGATGACCCTCAAATCCAAACCATGAACCCGCCTCCTCCTCCTTTCCTCCCTCCCTCCCTCCCTCCCTCCCTTCACCACCGCCGCCTTGTCTATGTTTAGAACCACCACACCCACACCAACCATGGCGATCTTGTTCACCTTTTACGACCGCTTCTCTGGGTTTTTTACCCCTTCCCTCCTCCTCCTCCTGCTCCTCCTCCGGAAAACGGAGGCGACGCCCTCTTGTAGGTGCGCGCACCACCGGACACGGAAGCGACGCCCTCTTGGAGGTGCGCGCGCCACCGGAAAACGGAGGCGACGCCATCTTGGAGGCGCACGACATCGGAAACGGAGGCGACGCCATCTTGGAGGTGAGCACGCTACCGGAAACGGATGAGACGCCATCTTGGAGGCGCACGACACCGGAAACGGATGCGACGCCATCGTGGATGCGCGCGCAACTCCCAGCATGACCGGATGTGACCGTGACCGGATGTGACGTCACAGAGGTCACGTGATCCTCTCGACCAATCAGAAGCCAGGAGCGGTCCCAGAGCGCTGCTACCAACTACTTTTATGCATACAGATTCAGAGTGACAAAACACTATTCACAAGACTGTATGACAAGAAGGATGACTTCAACTTTACAATTGTCAACTTCCCTTTATGTTGAGCAATATTCTAACAGCCCCAGCCTTTAGTGAACAACTTTTTACGTACAATCGAGCATGCTCTTTTATCCAAGATTTCAAAGAGCGTCATCCGACTCTTGACAATAAAATGTTTGATCAAGGTGAAATTTCCAAATTTGACACGTAAGTTACAAAAATGATGTCCGATGCAATTGGCTATTTTGACTTGTACGACATGTTCCCGTGTTCAGGGAACAATTGACTTGCCTTTGCATGTGTTTGGGGGCAGGATACCTTCACCTTTACGCGAACACCTGGTATCATCACTACTTGATAGTGATTCATAAACACATGCTTATGATATAGTCGGAATCGTACTATTGACATGCATCCTTCATTTAGATTGCTTTTACGGCAGGCATTGGTTGCTGAATAGGTCTTCAGCAACCCATGCTTGCCGGGGGAAAAGCGACTATGCTTGTCGTAAAAGGCGACTAACAGGATCGGGTGGTAAGGCTCGCTGACTTGGTTGATGCATGTCATCGATCCCAATTGCATGGATCAATGCACATGATATCAATCACTGGATTGTCTGGTACAGAAGCGATTAATTACAGACCGGCGTTATATAGCTGGAATATTGCTGCGTGCGGCGTTAAACAACAATCAACATCAACAACGTTAGATCGGGCGGTCAAAGTTCACTCAGAGCCCACCTGACCTCCTATGGAAAGTCTTCAGATCTTCACGAGAACCATCGGATCGGAGGCGAAGATCTGACTGTAATAAGATACGCCCCACCCAAACACGTCGAATGATATGGCCGACATTAAACAAGGATGTGAATTCAAGAGTTATACATTTCCACGTGACTACATGATTGACAGGCGAACGCGGATATATGAATCAATGTGGCCTGGGCAGCCTGTGAAACCAGTTAAACTGTTTTCAGAATTTTCATTTCTTCAGTATCCAGATTTCTTGTTGAGAGAAAGAAGCAGGCACGTAAGTACAGGGAGTTCTATATGTGTAAATGCGTGTCTCGTCCCTAAACTGTAGTGACGTCACAAGTGTCACAGTGTAAGCTACTTCTACCTTGAAGATCCGGGGTAGAATAGGTCTTCAGCAACCCATGCTTGCCGAAAAAGGCGACTATGGTTGTCGTAGGAGGCGCCTAACGGGATCGGGTGGTCAGGCTCGGTGACTTGGTTGATGCATGCTATCGTATCCCAATTGATTCTCATGATGTCCATCACTGGAGTGTCTGGTCCAGACTCGATTATTTTCAGACCACCGTCATATAGCTGGAATATTGCTGCGTGCGGCGTTAAACAACAAACAAACAAACAAATTTCTACCTCAGTTCATATTGGGCGTATATGAAGGGGTGCCATTATTCATGAAATAATCATGTCTCCGTGATCCGCTGAACTGAATTTAAAAAACCTGTACGAAGATTGACTGCAAGCGTGTGTCGGGTAATAATTTAGTAACTATCATAATACTCAAATCAATACAGTAAATATTCAGTTATAATTGGGTGAGGGGGTGGTTGGGTAAGGGGTTGAGTGAGTTGTGAGTGAGTGAGTGAGTTTTTAACAGTATTCCAGTTATATGTCAGCTTGATGTGGGAGGAAAGCTCGAAATTATGCAGGTCTCAGACATTTACCTCACGAGCACGGGTATGTTGCTGTCAAAACCTAGAAACCTAATTGTGGCGAACCGGGATTCGAATCCACAATCATAGGTTTCTGGCGTTCCCAAGGAACGCAACTCTGAACAGCGAATCGCGGCGCCTTAGACGACCGGGGCACCCTTTCTTGAGTGTGTGAGTGAGTTTACAATGAGTGACCAGGCGGATTGTGTGTCATCTACCCCAATAGTGGAGCTGATGTTATCAATCAAAGACAGCCGCTTTCGCTGGTACGATCAGGCAGAAGAGCAAAACATGATTCACTCACTCATTCCAGGTACGGAACCTGGGCAATGTGGAGGATGAGCGAGCGCGCGCGTGCGTGCGTGTGCGTCAGGGAGTTATAACCTATGCCGCCCCCATCCTTGGTTTCACTCGTGTTTCGTGAAGACATTTGACTCAACCAGAAAGGGGGACCACGGGTGGCCCAGTCGTCGAAGGCGCCGCGATTCGCTGTGCAGAGTTTCGTCTCTTGGGCACCCCAGAAACCTATGATTGTGGGTTCGAATCCCGGTTCGCCCCGATTATGTTTCTAGGTTTGTCAGCACCATACCCGTGCTCGTGGTAAACGTCTGAGACCTGCATCACTTCGGGCTTTCCTCCCACATTACGCTGACACACCGTGATATAACTGGAATAATGTTAAAAGCGACGTTAAACCCAACTCACTCACTCACTCATCAAGAATGGAAATAGCAGTTGTTGATCATGTGTAGGGTATACGATACGTTTATATATAGTTCCTCCAAATGGGTTTCCGTATCTTTCCACGTCAGTTTACCGAGAAGCAGCGATTGTACTGTGCAGCATTTCTCAATAACAGCACCCACGTGATCCGATTAAACAACAGCGCTGTCAGAGGCGACTTCGGGCTTCTTGACAAGGAAGTAAGTCGTAACCGGAGGTAAATACTCAGCAAGTGGTCCGAGCAATTTAACGATGTCAACATCATGACTCACCATTCCCTTGAAATGTCCTCCTAATTGGCCTTTAGTCACAAATGATATGCTTTCCTGTTGCATCGCTCTCTCGCCTTCGGTCTTGCTCACGGCCGCGATAAAGCGATAACACGAGACGAGAAAGCGATAGCACGAGACGAGAAAGCGATAGCACGAGACGAGAAAGCGATAGCACGAGACGAGAAGGCGATAACACGAGACGAGAAAGCGATAGCACGAGACGAGGTTCACCGGTATTTTAGTCTTTACCTTAACTTGTTTGTTTGTTGTTTAATGCCGCACTCAGCAATATTCAAGCTGTATGACGGCGGTCTGTAAATAATCGAGTCTTGACCAGACAATCCAGTAATTGATATCGCGAGTGTTCTACCTGGAACTTTTCAACATTTTGTAGGCTATAGATGCTATCTGGATAGAGAAACAAAATGCTGTCTCGTTTCGTTTGCACACACGCATGTATTTGTTGTTTTATTGTTGTAAATTAGCAAAATTCACATACACGACAACACAAAAGTCTTTTATTTTACATTATTTTACAAAAAACTCCACAGAAAGGCCGCGGATAATTTGCGATTTATAGCGAAACTCCATTGCCCCTTTCATGGGAGTTACCAGTTTTATGCCTTACATCACCGACCCGGATGTTTACACACCACACCTAAATATAGTAACTTCCTGACGACCGATCACTGCCCAACACAATGCAACGAGCGTCTACCGAAGTTCAACAGAGACAATGTAACATAGTTACAATCGTTGTTAAACAATACAATACACTGCCATAAAACACGATGTTAATGTGCTTGTAGAGAGGTGATACTAGATGACCCATTATAGTATCTTTTCTTTGTTCAAGTAGGGGCGGTGGGGTAGTCCAGTGGTTAAAGCGTTCGCTCGTCACGCCGAAGACCCGGGTTCACTTCCAAACATGGCTAAAAGCGGCGTAAAACTATACCCACTCACTCACTCACTCACTTTGTTAAGGCAGGAATATTCATATGTAACAATTGTCTATCTATTGTCTGGTTGTTATCAATTGAGTGTTCTGGTGTGAGTTTTGTAAACATCTTCAACACATATAACCAGACAGACATGTACAGTCAGTCACAAAGACAGACAGACATGTACAGTCAGTCACAAAAACAGACAGACAGATATGTACAGTCAGTCACAAAAACAGACAGACAGATATGTACAGTCAGTCACAAAAACAGACAGACATGTACAGTCAGTCAAACAGACAGACAGACATGTACAGTCAGTCACAAAGACAGACAGACATGTACAGTCACAAAGACAGACAGGCATGTATAGTCAGTCACAAAGACAGACAGACATGTACAGTCACAAAGACAGACAGACATGTACAGTCAGTCACAAAGACAGACAGACATGTACAGTCAGTCACAAAGACAGACAGACATGTACAGTCAGTCACACAGACAGACAGACATGTACAGTCAGTCACAAAAACAGACAGACATGTACAGTCAGTCACAAAGACAGACAGACATGTACAGTCAGTCACAAAAACAGACAGACATGTACACTGGGTCACAAAAACAGACAGACATGTACAGTCAGTCACAAAGACAGACAGACATGTACAGTCAGTCACAAAGACAGACAGACATTTACAATCAGTCACAAAAACAGACAGACATGTACAGTCAGTCACAAAGACAGACAGACATGTACAGTCAGTCACAAAGACAGACAGACATGTACAGTCAGTCACAAAGACAGACAGACATGTACAGTCAGTCACACAGACAGACAGACATGTACAGTCAGTCACACAGACAGACAGAATGTACAGTCAGTCACAAAGACAGGCAGACATGTACAGTCAGTCACACAGACAGACAGACATGTACAGTCAGTCACAAAAACAGACAGACATGTACAGTCAGTCACAAAGACAGACAGACATGTACAGTCAGTCACAAAAACAGACAGACATGTACACTGGGTCACAAAAACAGACAGACATGTACAGTCAGTCACAAAGACAGACAGACATGTACAGTCAGTCACAAAGACAGACAGACATTTACAATCAGTCACAAAAACAGACAGACATGTACAGTCAGTCACAAAGACAGACAGACATGTACAGTCAGTCACAAAGACAGACAGACATGTACAGTCAGTCACACAGACAGACAGACATGTACAGTCAGTCACACAGACAGACAGAATGTACAGTCAGTCACAAAGACAGGCAGACATGTACAGTCAGTCACACAGACAGACAGAATGTACAGTCAGTCACAAAAACAGACAGACATGTACAGTCAGTCACAAAGACAGACAGACATCTACAGTCAGTCATAAAAACAGACAGACATGTACAGTCAGTCACAAAAACAGACAGACATGTACAGTCAGTCACAAAGACAGACAGACATGTACAGTCAGTCACAAAGACAGACAGACATGTACAGTCAGTCACAAAGACAGACAGACATGTACAGTCAGTCACAAAAACGCAATGTAATAAAGAGAAATATATTTACTTGAAAAGCATAAACATGTTTTTTTAACATACATACATACATACATACATACATACATACATACATACATACATACATACATACATACAGCATGACAGCTTGACAGAGGGAGAGGGGGCACGGGTGGCGTCAGGGAGTTATAACCTATGCCGCCCCCATCCTTTGTTTCACTCGTGTTTCGTGAAGACGTTTGACTCAACCAGAAAGGGGGACCACGGGTGGCCCAGTCGTCTAAGGCGCCGCGATTCGCTGTGCAGAGTTGCGTCCCTTGGGCACGCCAGAAACCTATGATTGTGGGTTCGAATCCCGGTTCGCCCCGATTATGTTTCTTGGTTTGTCAGCACCATACCCGTGCTCGTGGGTTTCACCGAAGTGGTAAACGTCTGAGACCTGCATCACTTCGGGCTTTCCTCCCACATTAAGCTGACACGCCGTGATATAACTGGAATAATGTTAAAAGCGGCGTTTAACCCAACTCACTCACTCACTCACTTGACAGAGGGAGACAGACAACACACCCATCCACCCACATACATACGTTTGACAAAACTATACTTAAAATAAAAATAAAATATTTTTTTGACAGCTGATTTAACATATGTTATAGATAGCCATTGTAATGTGATTCATATTGTTACCATCGTTAACAGTGTGGTCACACTAATTGGGATGTCTTTCCATGTATGTGATGTACCCAACTACATATATCAACTGTGATCGCTTTCTCGTCCCTTGTTATCGCCGCTTTATCGCGGCCGTAATTGAAGGCGAGAAAGTCAATTGTAAGGTTTTAGAAGGGTAGGTGCTGTCATAAGAGCGCATGTGTCCATTTGACCACACTCTTCTGTATATAATTTATTAGCCTTGGGCGTGTTTCTCAAAGCCGTGCTACGACTATCAGTGGTCTATATGTGTAGGAGTTACGATCACTTTGTGGAACAGGGACGTTGCATGCAAGACAACTGAATAACAGAATGTATGTCTTTAATTTCCATAGGTTGTGTTGCTAGTTCTCTAAATGTGTCTCAGTATTTTGAACATCCATAAAAAATTTCAAAAACTTTACTGAATGCCGTAAAAGGCGACTGTGTTCGTCGTAAGAGGCGACTAACGGGATCGAGTGGTCAGGTCGCTGACTTGGTTGATGCATGTCATCGATCCCAATTGCGTGGATCGATGCTCATGATATCAATCACTGAATTGTCTGGTCCAGACTCGAATATTTACAGACAGCCGTCATATAGCTGAAATATTGCTGAGTGCGGCGTTAAACAGCAAACAAACAAACAACAAATATCATCTTACAGAATGCTTGTGTCGACGACGTGGGTGGGGTGGGTGATGTGGGGGGTATGCATAAAACTAAAACAAACAACAAACAAACTTATAGCTGAGACAGTTTTAGTGGTCACAATGGGCCCCCTCATCGTACCCCATCCTATGGATTCAAACGTGAGGGGTGGTGAGGAAGCCTAGTTGTTCAAACGTTTGCTCATAAAGCCGAATACCCAGGTTCGAATGTGAAGCCTATTTCTGGTGTTCCGTGCTAGGTTGTTGTTCTGGTATTGCTAGAAGCGGCGTAAAACCATATTCACTCACTCACTTTTAGATCGAATCGCCTTCCTTAGGGAGTGAGTTAAAATCTAACGTCGCATCGGCATTATTTCAGCCATATAGCGACGAATCGCTTTCTAAACATGTCTGCATTACTTGAAATATTAACTTCTTTTTTATTCTTTCAGACACGCATCAGCAAACATGAGCGTATGGACAGACTGGCTGGACTACATCCCAGTTGTGGGGACAGTCAAGAACACGGTTGAGGCTGTATCAGCCGTCTGCCATGGCGACTATGCTCTTGCAAAGGAGAAGGGAGCGGACGCAGCTCTGGGTCTTGTGCTGGATGTTCTCACAGCTGGAACACAACATGCCGCGGGTACTGCGTACCTTACAGTTGTTGAACATATTGTGTTCAGGGGCACTACAGCAAAAGAAGCCATGAATGCCATTAAAGGAGCTGGCGCAAAATCGGGGAAAGGAGCTGGCGCAAAAGCGGGGAAAGGAGCTGGCGCAAAATCGGGGAAAGGAGCTGGCGCAAAAGCGGCTGCTGCTACTCAAGTTCCGATCCAAGAAATGACCAAGAAATCCAAAAGACCATCAGACCCAAAGACCAGCAAGGGTGAAAAGAAAAGGCCATCTGAACGTGGAGAACACGTCATCAATAACAACGTTCTAAAGGTTTTTAAGACAATCATAGACCGATTTGCTACTCGGATTGGAAGCACAGCAGCTGAACTGCTTGGAAATAAAGAACACACAGCCACTTATCAAGCATATTACAGGCCCCTACCACAAGACATCACCCAGTCAATCGGGTACCAGATGGTTGCACACATTCCGGAAGAGGACCAATACATTGATGCCAATGCAACTGCCTATGGAGCAGCAATCAAGGAGATTTCTGACATGGTGGTCACTTATATGTACGACTATTACAGCAACAACTTCTACAGTGGTCCTGCCGTCGATAGGAGCATCATCGATCTGATTCGTTTACTGAACAACAGCCAGTTGTATGTGGACGAGTACGCCAAACAGTACTGGCTTCGGCATGGCGGGGACGAGGCCAAGTTTGAGGACAGCAGACAACAAGTAGTGAAGATGTTCAGACGTCTGTGTGCACCTACAAGCGGGGAAAACGAGGCAAAGCAGTGGGTGCGCGATCTAACTGGCCATATGTAACTGTGCTGACATTGATGGTGTGGCAAGAAGGGACACAGTAAGCTTCTTCTTCTCACCTCAGATGCCACGAGAAACTACTGATACCTGAGAAAGCTCAATCAAGTATACTGGCCTTTAATTGTCAAGTCAAGAGGAGGGAACCTTTAACTTTATACGGAACATGGAAAACTATGCTGTGATGCCATGTGAAGTAAAGATGGTAACATCGTTACATATACTGAACGTTGATGCCTAGCTAAAACGTAGGGACATGATACTTTAACACATAACTATACTAATGTTGGATGTCAAGACAAGATATTGTGACACTTAACAGTACTGACATTGGATGTCAAAAGAAGATATTGTAGCACCCTTAACTACATTGACATTGGATGGCAAGACAAGATATTGTGACACTTAACAGTACTGACATTGGATGTCAAAAGAAGATATTGTAGCACCCTTAACTACATTGACATTGGATGGCAAGACAAGATAGTGTGACACTTAACAGTACTGACATTGGATGTCAAAACAAGATATTGTAGCACACTTAACTACATTGACATTGGATGGCAAGACAAGATACTGTAACAACTGAACTATATTGACATTCGGATTTTTCTAGGTCTGTGCAACTTGTTCTATTTGCACAGCGTAGACGAGTTTCTAATCTACAGAATAGTGTTGGTTTGTTATGTAATATGTTTTCAAAAAATAGTATAATTGTAAATTCTTTTAGGTCTGGGGGCGGTCAAGTAGCCTAGTGGTTAAAGCGTTCGCTCGTCACGCCGAAGACCCGGGATCGACTCCCGACATGGGTGACATGTGTGAGTCCCATTTCTGGTGTCCCCCGTTGTATATATTGCTGGAATATTGCTAATATTCCATCTAATTTCAGGGTTCTTTGGGCCGATCAAATAATATGTAGAAGGTCTCACAGTTAAATGTGAAGCAAGAAAATGAAATTATGATCACATAAATGATTCATAATGTATACAACAAATATTTACATGGATAAGGCAGTGGGTCTAGCTTAATGCGTCCTTGAACAGTATTTCAGCTTAGGCGGATCAGCTTCTTAAACTTATGCATTTTCACTGTTGCAAAATCCATGAACACGTACAGACTCCCGATGCACTGCTGCTGGCTTCAGATTATCGTTATGTCATAGTCTACCTTTCATCATGGCTGCCAAACTCAAAATTTTCAGCCAATAATATGAACTTTTCACATAAACAGTAAATATTTTAAGTACCGTATTTGACGTAATAAGCGCCCAGGGCGCTCTCAAAAATAGAAATAGGGGGGTCTTATTAGAATATTATTTGGGTGGACAAAAAGAGAGTTGAAAGATAAATTTTGTGGTTTATGCTTACAACCTGAAATGTTTATATACGACAGATATATTTTTCCAGAACTGAATTGCCCATAATTGAGGGTGCATTTCACACATGAGTGCGTATTATATGCGAATAAATGTCTTGTGTACATTGATCAATCGGAAGGGGTGCTAATTGGGATTGTTCACTCGCCAATATAGTAGGAAATATCGCTGTGGGCGCTTATTATAGCGGGGCGCTTATTACGTCGAATACGGTATATTTGTCTTGTCAGAGTACTTGATCACTATCATGATAGTGGTGGATACTAAAATTTTCATGCACAGATATTAAAAGTTATGGGCATAGACTTTGTTGTATCTGTGGTGCCTCTTATGGCTTTGTATGAAACAGTTGGGTAATATCCTGTTCATGTTGTCTATGATGTCTTGAACTTGAGAGAGAAAGCTTTGTACCCAAAGTTGGTGCAGACGTCTATCATTGCACTGCTTCCTCCAACACTCAGCACCTGGAAACAAGGGAGGAGGGCGGTAATCACGCCAGCAGACAGACCTGGTGCAACACACCAGCAGTTAGACCTGGTGCAACACACCAACAGTTAGACCTTGTGCAACACGCCAGCAGTTAGACCTGGTGCAACACGCCAGCAGTTAGACCTGGTGCAACACACCAACAGTTAGACCTGGTGCAACATGCCAACAGTTAGACCTGGTGCAACACACCAACAGTTAGACCTGGTGCAACATGCCAGCAGTTAGACCTGGTGCAACACACCAGCAGTTAGACCTGGTGCAACACGCCAGCAGTTAGACCTGGTGCAACACACCAGCAGTTAGACCTGGTGCAACACGCCAGCAGACAGACCTTGTGCAACACACCAGCAGTTAGACCTGGTGCAACACACCAACAGTTAGACCTGGTGCAACATGCCAGCAGTTAGACCTGGTGCAACACACCAGCAGTTAGACCCGATGAAACAAGCCAGCAGTTAGACCTGGTGCAACATGCCAGCAGTTAGACCCAGTGCAACACACCAGCAATTAGACCTGATGCAACACGCCAGCAGTTAGACCTGGTGCAACATACCAGCAGTTAGACCTGGTGCAACAAACCAGCAGTTAGACCTGATGCACCACACCAGCAGTTAGACCTGGTGCAATACACCAGCAATTAGACCTGATGCAACACGCCAGCAGTTAGACCTGGTGCAACACGCCGGAGATTAGACCTGGTGCAACAAGCCAGCAATTAGACCTGATGCAACACGTCAGCAGTTAGACCTGGTGCAACAGGCCAGTTGCATATGGATGCAACACCGTGCAACATACCAGCAATTAGACCCAGTGCAACACACCAGCAGTTAGAAGGAACACTCCCTCAACTGACCTCGAGGAGCACTCCCTCAACTGACCCCAGGTAGCACTCCCTCAACTGACCCCGAAGCGACATTAAACCCATCTACCTTATTCACCTGAGTGGAAGCAACATTAAACTCAACTACCTTATTCACCTGACCTGAAGCAGTGTTAAACCCAGCTACCTCTCCCACCTGACCTGAAGCAGTGTTAAACCCAGCTACCTCACCCACCTGACCTGAAGCAGTGCTTAACCAAGCTTCCGCACCCACATGACCTGAAGCAGTGTTAAACCCAGGTACCTCACCCACCTGACCTGAAGCAGTGCTAAACCCAGCTTCCGCACCCACCTGACCTGAAGCAGTGTTAAACCCAGGTACCTCACCCACCTGATCTAAAGTTTGGTTAAAAAAAGCTACCTCACCCACCTGACCTGAAGTGGCAGCCTGCAGGCCCTGTCCAGTTGGTAGACTTTCAAGTATCTTGGGGGTGGTGGTATTGCTATATTTTATCACTTTTAGGGCTAGTGGATGTCCTTGGTTCATTTCCATCCCCGCAACTCTGGAACCTTACCTACCTGACTGGAAGCGACATTAAACCCATCTACCTTACTCACCTGACCTAAAACGACATTTACCAGTCTACCTTACTCACTTGACCTGAAGCGACATTAAACCCAACTACCTTATTCACCTGGCCTAAGCGACATAAAATCCATCTACCTTATTCACCTGACTGGAAGCGACATAAACCCATATACCTTATTCACCTGACCTCAACGACATTAAACCCATGTACCTTATTCACCTGACTGGAAGCGACATTAAACCCATCTACTTTACTCACCTGACCTGAAGCAACATAAAACCCAACTACCTTATTCACCTGACCTGAAGCGACATTAAAGCCATTTTCCTCATTCACCTGACTGGAAGCGATATTTAACCCAACTACCCCATTCACCTGGCCTGAAGCGACATTAAACCCATCTACTTTACTCACCTGACCTGAAGCAACATTAAACCGAACTACCTTATTCACCTGAGCTGAAGCGACATTAAACCCATCTACCTTACTCATCTGACTTGAAGTGACATTAAAGCCATCTACTTTATTCACCTGACTGGAAGCGACATTAAACCCAACTACCTTATTCACCTGACTGGAAGCGACATTAAACCCAACTTTCTTATTCACCTGACCTGAAGTTACATTAAACCCATCTACCTTATTCACCTGACCTGAAGCGACATTTAACCCATCTAACTTATTCACCTGACTGGAAGCGACATTAAACCTATCTACCTTATTCACCTGACAGGAAGCGACATAAAACCCAACTACCTTATTCACCTGAACTGAAGCGACATTAAACCCAACTACCTTATTCAACTGACTGGAAGCGACATTAAACCCATCTACCTTACTCACCTGACCTGAAGTGACATTAAACCCAACTACCTTATTCACCTGACTGGAAGCGACATTAAACCTATCTTACTTATTCACCTGACTGGAAGCGACATAAACCCATCTACCTTATTCACCTGACCTAAACGACATTAAACCCATGTACCTTATACACCTGACTGGAAGCGACATTAAACCCATCTACCTTATTCACCTGACTGGAAGCGACATTAAACCCATCTACCTTATTCACCTGACCTAAACGACATTAAACCGAACTACCTTATTCACCTGACCTGAAGCGACATTAAAGCCATTTTCCTCATTCACCTGACTGGAAGCGATATTTAACCTAACTACATTATTCACCTGGCCTGAAGCGACATTAAACCCATCTAGCTTATTCACCTGACTGGAAGCGACATAAAACCCAACTACCTTATTCACCTGAACTGAAGTGTTTTTAAACCCAACTCACTTATTCACCCTGTCCTGAGGACAACCAACCCGTTGATCCATCACTATGGAGTTAAGTTCTGGGTTTGTAAACACTCCTCTGAAACAAAATATGTAGACACAATAATCAAAAGGATGCGAAGATATAGCTTTGAAAAATATGACAATAACTCATTTCAGTGGGACTGACACCAAAACCACTACAAGGAGCTAGGAGAGGTACACTACATCTACAGTGAAAGAAACAATTACTTTTCACTGCACCCATGGGAGCAAGGTCTTGCTGCGAGGAAGTAGGCTGCCACGAGTGCCACACACATTTTACTTTGTGGCTTTTTAAGAATATGGTCATACCATGTGATATGATGAAGTGAAAAAAAAAATAAGACAATATTATATATGTGAATGTTGAAACTCTACAGCACAAAAGTCTTCATATCAACATGTGCTGAAAACTGTAAAAAGTTTCATAGAAAAGTATGCCATCTTATCGCACACTCATCTCTGTCATAATCAATGCAGAAGTAGGGATGATGGATTTGATAATGAAGTCATTAAACGAAAGTTACCCTCAACCATTATTGAGGCACATACTGACAACTTGGTAAAAGGCATGCACAGTTTCCCCTACTGTGGGAGATACCTCCAAATGATGACAAACACAAAATGTAGCCACACAAAAAAAAATTATCATGACTTATAAGATTCCTAAAACAGGTTAAATGGGTATCAAATTTAATCTTTTAAAAGAAGAATTCATAAATTTCTAAAAGTTCTACTTGTTGCCATGGAAAAATAAAAAAAATGTAAATTTCTAAAATTTCCAAATAGCAAAAGGCACCAGTTCAACATGTACCTGACAGACATGCAAAGTTTCATGAAAATATATTTAACGGTTTCTGAGTTATGCTCCGGAAACGAAGCCTACCCTCACAGAACCTAAGTCC